TGACGGGTATTGTAGCCTACGAGTCTCCTATCCTATGCGTGTGGGGGGGGGGGGCGTTGTGGATCGCAGCTTCTGGCGGGAGCTGGAGATTGCCTTTAGTTTGGCCTCTTTAACACTGTGTCTTAGCGGCACACTTCAGCACAATATGTCTAACACACCTCCCCCCACACACACACGCACAAAGAGCAGCTTTGTGAGGTTGTTAAGATTTATTGGAAGCCGGTCTTGCTGTTTAAACTCTTGTTTGCTTTTTAGGAAGGAAAGGGGGGGGGGACGTTAAATAAAGACACGATGCAGCAAATACGCGGGTCTGTTTTAGATTTAGGGACAGAAGCAGCGCAGTTAAGACTGGCCAACTGAACGCGTGTGTTGTGTGTGTGCGCACGCAGAAGGATAACAAAAAAAAGGGGGGGGAGCTTTCTTTACTATGAAAAAAAAAATAGACCCAGACTACAGCTCCCATAAGCCCCGGTCGACAGACTGTTCCAAAACAGCCCGATTAATATCCAAGGCGCTTGACTTGTATCATTCAATTAAATCAAACCATTTTTTTTAAAATTTGGCCCAGACGAAACAAGCCCTGAAGTTTTAGTTTCTTAAACCACGATTTCGTTGGAGACGCCACCCAGAGGGTCCTCACTCGCCTTGCAAAAAAAAAAAAAGCCACGCCCATCGATCCTGGTTTGCAAACCGCAGTGGCTGAGTTGAACGGGGCCAAGTTTTAAGCAGGCTTAACTCTGGTTTGATTCGATTAAGCGGAACTGCTAAGCGTCCAAAACAAAGCGGGGCTAAGATGTGTTAAATTAACCGTGGCTTGGTGGAATTCAGACAGTTTTTATTTCTGAACAGATAGGAAACATTCGCGGAGCAACGATTAAACCGCGTTGAAGTCGCCCGTGCTCAAACAGGGCAATTTTTTTTCTGCAGTTCACCCCAATAGCTTCGTTACGGATTCTTTGATCCCTTTTCTTGGGGATTGATGAAGTTGGGTTGAGGGAGTTGGTTTCATTCACAAAGCCGCAACACTCACTCTCTCTCACTCTCTCTCTCTCTCTCTCACTCTCTCTCTCACTCTCTCACTCTCTCTCTCACTCACTCACTCACTCTCTCCCACTCTCTCTCTCTCTGTCTCTCACTCTCACCGATCTTGCCACTACTGGAATTGCACCTGAGCCCACCGTGGCGCAAAAAAGGTGATTATTGTCTGCGTGTGAGCAGAACATTGGGATGGGTCTGAACGCTTGAAGAGGAATTGATTAAACAGGGGGTTGGAGTTCTTGTTTTCCGGGGGGGGGCTGGGGGAAAACAAATCTTCTCCAGCTTGAGCCACCCTCCCCTCAAAAAGTGACTTTTCCCCCTAGGAAAAATGTATCACGATTTTTTTTTAAAAAAAAAATTTCCAACCACTCATTGTCCCTCCTTCCCTACTTTCCACCTGGCGTGTTTTTAGGTCGGCTACTGAGGACTAGAAGCATGGCTCTTTTTTTAATTTACAGAATCTCAGGAAATGGAGAAGGGGGAAGGAATTAGCGCTCTGTGTGTGTGTGTTTAATGTAAATACTTCGCAAAAAAATGTTCTGGTTGAGTCCGGATTGAAAAAAAAAACCTGGGAAAATCATAACTGATCTCTTGCAGGGATGGAAAGCTCAAAGCTACGGGCGTTTGATCTGCTTTTTCTGATCGATATTCCTTTGTGCTAAGGACAAAAAAAAATAATTAATACCAATTTGCCCCGCGGGTTGAGAAGCGTTTAAGCTGACGCTGGACTTTTCAAGCCCCCAATTCTCTCTGTCTGTCTGTCTGTCTGTCTGTCTCTCTCGTTCTCTCTCTGGGGAGAGGGGTCCCCACCCAAACAAAACCCGCCACGGATTTAAGGCGCTGGGTAATCCCAACAGTGAAACTCTTAAGTAATTTTAAGGGGTGGGGGGAGGAGTGGATCTTGGAAGGGAGGGGTAAATATGCAAATCTGCCAGTTTTGGGGCGCTCTCTGTCTGCTAAGAGAGGGCACGGATCCTCCTGCCAGGTGCTGCCCTGAGAATCCCAGGCACTTCGATTAGAGAAGGGGGGTCTTCCTCCCGCACTGCGGGTTAGTTCGAATCTCACCCCCCCACACACACACACGCACCCCTTTTATTTAAAAGAAAGAAATCCGTTGCAGCTGTAAAAAAAAGTAGTTCAGCGCCCCCCTCCAAGGTGCAAGGCGGCCGGGTTTAACGCGGGGGGGGGGGAAGAGTTGCGCCCCCCCCCGCTTTAGGTGAGGCGGAGCCTCCCCCCCCATGAAGAAGGGGGTCGTTGCGTTTCCTTGGTGTCGCGAGGATGGGGTTGGAAGGCTTGGGCCGGGAAGGCGCGCGCGCCCCTTTTTTCCCCGGGGTGGTGGTGGTGTAAAATTTCTTTTAGGGGAGGCGAGGGGGGCGTCTAGGACCCCGGAATTCAACTTCTCCCTCTTCAAACCGTTTTAAACGGGTTTTTTTTCCAGGGGAGGGGGAGCAGAAACGATTCTATTGGGAGGCTTCCTGCCAAGCTCCCCCCCCCCCAACACAGAAGCTCGTTTTCTTTGCTGGTTTTCTTGGAGGAGCTCAGGCGGGGTGGGTGGGGGTGGGTGGGGCTGAGGGATGGGTGGGATTGAAAACCAGCCGGAGTCCCTGCCTTCCATCACTTGCAATTTAAAAGCTCCCGGAATTACTGCTACCTCTTTTAGGATTATGGATTAAGGGTTGGTTAGTGTGCCCCGTCTGATAAACGGGAAAAAACGAACGGGGGTCGCCCCCCGCCCCAACCTCTGAAATTTTCTCTCATGGGAAATTTCAATTTTGTAAACAGGAGAGGGGACGCCGGACCGGGGGGGGGGGGTTAGTGAAGCGCAGAGAGATGGAAAATGGATGGACGGATGGACGGATGGATGATTGGAATGGTTGAACGTAGAAGAATGTTGTAGGAGAAGGGAGGGAGGGAGGGAGATCAGAGAGAAAAAGTATAATAGAAAAAAATGAAATGAAGTCCAAAGGAAAGGCAGAATAGAAAAAGAAAGAAGGAAAATAGGAAAGGAAGTAATTAATTTGTAATTTTAATAGATTTGTATGCCGCCCAATCCCGGAGGACTCCGGGCGGCTTACATAAAAGCAATTTAAAAAATATTAAAAAAAAGATTAAAACACAGAACAGTACAACTTAAAAATAGAAAACACAACATGCACTCAGTTATAATGGGGCTGAGGTTCAATCAAGATCAAAGGAAGGAAGGAAGGTAGAACAGAGCAAAGAAGAATATAAAAAAGAATTGGAGGGAAGGAAGATCAAAGGAAAGACAATAGAAAAAGAAAGAAGGA